TGTCCTGTTCGTTTTAATTTTTATTTGCCTTTTAATTTGTACGTTTTTCACGCAAATACTTTTAATATATTTAACTGCCGGGTGAATGTTCCTCTAAATCTCATTATAGTTAGTTCGCGAAATGCTGAACGAAATGAGGAGAACGGGTCGGATGCTCTGATGTGCAGATAAGTCAGTTAGCGACTCGCTCTAGCGCGTTCCGACGTCGAGTCTTTTTTGCATAGTATCTTCTTATTGCTTTTGCTTTTTCCTCTTTCTCTTTTGCTTCCACTTACTTCTAACGAGTGATTCATCATCAGCGTCGCCTTCTCTTCTTCCTCTGACTAGCTGGCTGGCTAGCTGGCTGGTTGCCTGTTTGGTCCATGGATCTTTTGCCCTTCCTCTCTGTGCGCGCCTCTGTCCTCTCCTTTCTCTCTTCTCTCATTCCTTCCCTCGAGCTACTCCAAGTACTTGTTTTACTCCCACACGGTCATATTATCACATAATTCTTTCTTATTATTATAGTCATGCTTTTATAGGCATTTTTCACATAAAGCCTCCTCTACTCAATTCAGGTTTCATAAAGTAAAATCATAAAATAAAACGCAATAAGAATATTTTTATGTTTTTAATATTATGTATTTGTTTCAATTTACAACTAATATCGCCGATTTGTAATCGATTTTTTGAAAATTTGCATTTGAATATTTTTTCTAGATTTTACGTTAATGCAAAATTATATTATGTACAGATTTTCCAAACGATATTAAATAAGACGAGTCATCATTAAATATTTAGAATAATATTTTTTACTTTCACTGCATCACTGCATTGGCGCGAATAAATACAACGATATTTCTCTCCAGACACTTGCGAACATTGCTTGTGTTCACGATGCAAACTCAGCAGGAGCACAAGGAAGAAATCAAAGCCAAGCTCTTTTATTTCTTGATTCTCTACTTTCCATCATTGATATTGAAAATATATTTGTGTCTGTCAATAAATCTTCTAGTTTCTCATTTTATAGTAAAATTTCCAACAATTGTGAATACAAAACTTGTTTTATAACAATTCATATTAATTAAAGTAGCATGCGCATTAAAAGTAGCACAAAACATTAAAAACTTTCTATATTTTTAACATCTAAGCCAATTTAGCGTACTTGTATTTGATCCTAATCAATCATCAAGTGCCGGGAGGCCAAACTATTCGAAATATCCATGCATTTTCATCAGTATTGAAAAACGAGTGTCGTTCGTCTCGAAAAGTCCACCTTCGGCCCGGAAGGTGGGATTCCAGTAATTCGGTCATGGAATGGATGGGCGACGACGAGAGAGCGAGAGGGAGGATGGAATGGGCCGGGTAAGGGGGATAGGGTAGGGACGGGAGGGCGTTCCACGGCACCCTGCATGGGGTAGCTTGCAACCTCACGCGACACTAGAACCATCTATATCCCAGGAGATTTACGAGTTCCTGGTGCAGCGGCTGCTCGTAGCAACTACACGCTACACAATATCGGTATAGCGCGGTGGTGCCTCCTGTCGCGAGACGAGCGGACTGTTGCTCCGCGGGGGTTTTCGCACACTCGCGTTCGTTCCGACGCCATCCGGGCAAAAAATTCGCGACTCGATCTCAATCCGAGCCTCTTCTCCGCTGGCCCGTCAATATGCACCCGTAGCTATGTCTGCTTCGTCTTTCGGAAGGCGCACATTTTGCATCGCTGCGGTTTCTCCGCGAGTGTATTACAAAATGATATATCTTTTTGAGGACTGTATACTTAATGAATGTGAGCTAAATAGGAATTTAGAATGCTAATTACTTTGTCATAATAATATATTCATATTAGTAGTATGTGATAGTATCATCGAACAAAATTAAAATTAGTAACCAAGACTGTAATAATTAATTGTAAAAAATATTCTTATCTATTTATATACGCTTATTATTTTAATTGTAAAGTGTCAATGTAGCCAAATTGATTTTATTATTGACATATTTTAATGTGCCATATATTTTTTCACAAATACATGTTTAATAAATTTATCTCTGTAAAACTCGAATGTATGTATTTGATAAAGAAGATATTTACGAGACATTTCGGATGGTCAGTTGAAACGTGGGCACTGATATTTATTCGTTTCGTATTATCAACAGATGAGGCCATTGAAAGAACAGAGTAGACAGTTGCTACGCATAATTAAAACTTTTACGGCACAAAGGCGGAGTATCGGCCTTGATTTCCATTCACGATCGGCCAAGCGTGGAGAATGGCAAGCCGAGATTTTCGAACAGCCCCCCAGACACAGCCGTCCGTTCACACCCCGCATGATATTCTGCAGGGGTAACCAATGAGTTTGGCGGCGGAGGGGGGGGGAGGGGGTTTACCCGTGGTGCTACGCGGGACGACGACGACGACGATATGAGTACTGGTATCTACCCACCTATGTTTCTACACTCCATCCCCATTTCACCCCATCCCCTTGATGCGGCCGGTTTACGAGCAACCTGTGGTAACGAGAGCGATAGATAATAACTGCTCCGTGCTCAATTCCACCCCTCTCTCTCCCCTCCCCTCTCTCTCTCCCTCTGTTTTTTTAGACATACATCTACATAAAAAACTCGCCCGCGCACGCATGCACAAATACATGTGTATGAAACTAACTGCAATTTTTTTAAAATTTTTTATAGCTTGTTTCTCGAATATTTCCCGCAATTTGATTAAGTGGATCACGCGAATATTATATAAAAGAAGAGACTCATTGTCAGTCAAGATTTATTTGTACAAACAGCAGGCGAAATAGAATTAAATTTACTTGTGTGATATACCGTCTCCGCTGATGCAGATTTATCAAGAGCGCGATGTTTCATCAATGTGACAGCGTTTTCAGCACTTTCGTGAAACTATAATTTCTATACTTTTCAATGGAGAAAGTGTCGAAAATGTTGCGAATTACGCAAAGTACGATGTTGTTTTGCAACGCCATATCGAGAATCATGTTTCTGGTTTTTGCGAGTTTTAAGTATGAGAATTTATGGCAGCTTAAAAACTCTAGCTTCCTTCGGGAATCCTGATAAATGCGCGCAGGAAGGACGCTTAGGTATGTACGCCAGACTCAGTTTCAGGGCGTCGCGTACTCTCGAAAAGGTCGCGAAGCAATTCTAGGCCGAACAGCAAATAAGATATACAACGAGCGTGTGTAAACAATTTCCAAGTAACAAGGATTGTGCGAGGATCGCGAAGAGAATTCTGAAAGACTATTTATCGTCCAAAGTCGGTGATATCTTATTAATGTTGGTTCATTTATAACGATAACGAATGAAATCCGATTTAAAAGTATTATTTTTCACCGTAAAGATAACTTATTCTTTTGCATTATTAAATATTTTGCCTGCCGTTCTGTATCTTATTTTTGTTTCGTAGATAAACGTTTTATAAATATATACACTTTTAAATAAATATAATTAATGCAATATATTTCCATAACTTATTCTTGTCTAATAAAGCATTTGATGAAAAAAATGAAGGAAATTCCGAACAAATAATTATTTATAAGAGATATGATCGCGCCATGTATACGCGCAGCGAGGTCGACCGTGTATTTTACAATTTAAACAAGTTAAAATGGCAAAATTTCATAAAAATCGCAAAGAATGTGAGGTATTGCGATTGAAATGCGTTTGAGACGCGTCATTTTGTCGGCAGCGTCGATTTACACGAAAGGATAGAGGGTGAAAGGTGAGACACTGCACTTGCCAAACATTTGGGGTAGTCCGAGGCGTGTCATTTTGTTGACATCGCTGATAGTGGGATAGAAGGTCCTGTTTAGATTAAGAAACAATTAAATAGTGGTACGTTTTTAATTTGAGTGGTCCGAGAAAGAGAGATGTTTTTTTAACAACGTTGATGAAGTAAGAAATCTTTCTGAGACAAAGCGCGGTAATTTATATACACGAATGATTTTATACATATATTGTCGCAATTTGAGTAATTGAAGATGCTCTGTTTTTGTAACAATATCAACAGAAAGAATTTATTCTATAGAAATTTTTCTAGAAATTCTAGAATTCTATTCTGTAGAAATTTATAAGAATCTATCTATTAAAAATGTAACTGACATAATATTAATGTTACACAATTATGTAACACTAAATTAAAATGATTTTTACGCTTCTTTATTGTATTTCAGACTACTTTGAGATATTTTTAATAGACATAGATACCGCGAGATATTTACGAGATGAAGGAACTCATTGTAGATTGAATCACGCAAGACCAGATTGAATCGCTGGCACAATCTGCGACTATAAAATTATTCGACTTTGCCAAGAATCTGCCGGTATTTTTCTTCCTTAATTTTTTTCATCTTAACTTAAGAGATACACGACAATTCTAACGTCTACATTTTCCTTTTAGATATTTAATATTGAACATTTAATTACAAACGGGAGGAAATGAAACGAAATGGGTGATGTAGAGCTTTGCCAGCTCTCATTCCCCGTAAGACTTTCTGGACTAACCCCTTTCGCTCTTAACGTGAACTATTGATATCCCGAGATACCAACACTACCGAAGCTGAGGCTCAACGTGCATGTGACCGAACAAGGCACCATGTGCATTCATTCTATTACAAAAGAAGCTGAACCAGCGTTCGACCCGCGTCCCTAGCACGTTGTATATATATGAACGACGAAATTTCAAGCATTTGATTTCATATGATGATTTTCGTTTTCTAAAAGAAAAGAAAAATCCTCGATAGCTGTAAAACGTTTTAGATTTTGCATTCAGCCAATCTTGTTTCAGTCAAATTGAGCAATCATTGGCAGCATGTAGATGTAATGTATGCACATAAATTTAGCACAATTGCTAATTTTTGAATAATTCGATCATTGTTTCCTCGTATAATTTCTTCCGTCTTAATTATTGCAAAATTATGTGTCCATTATTAGAAATCCAATGTATTCTCCAAATATTTGGTAACATGCGAAATGAGCTAACTCCGTTATTTCTGTTTCTGTTTCAGGTGAGTGGCAGGCTGCATTCGCTGTCTCTGCAATGCCAAATAGATGGTCGATGTGCGTATCTGTCGATCGTCAATTTATCGGTTGCGGCGAATCGGATGCTGCACCCGGTGAGTGACGAACCTCCCCCCCCCCCCCCCAACCCTCACTGCGGCTACCTCCCGTAGCTCACTTTGACCGATATGTTCCCAGACCAATCAGTATCCAAGTACACAGTATCATCCGTATAAGCCTAGTGCTGTTGTAGTCGTTCCCCTTTCTGGTCTCTCTACCTGTAGTTTCTGCTTTGGTGCAGTAGCATGTAGATAGGGGGTTGAATTATCGAGGGTGGCCAATCAGCCAACGTCCGCGGATACGGGGTGTCGTTTGCGAAAAATCGACCGAGAACAGAGTCACATTCTCTACATTGCGATAGGTTGTACGCGATTAATAGAAACTGAGATACGTAACGAAAAGGCTACAACTATTCATAGGATTAAAATATAGGACGTATAGAGAAGCATCTAACATTCTCGGTGGGCGAGATCGAGTCGATGCGAACGATTAGTTCGTGACGAGCGCAGCGTAGGCACGACTCTTTTACAACTCAATGTACAAAATTACTATTTTAGCACGTTTCTTTAGAAATCTTACTTTTTTTTATTTAATTTTTTCTCGAAAATGCGCACTCAATACGCGAGAGAGAAAGAGGAAGAGAGAGAGAGAGAGAAGAAAAAAAAGAATGTAAGAAAGAGAGGGAGCGAGAGAAAAAGAGATAGAGGAAAAAATATAACGATTACTGTTAATGTTGTTTTTGTTATTTTTTTTTTATTTGCAAAGCAACGCGAGAAGATGTTTATATTGTTACCAGTTCCGTTTTGCTAATGGTAACTTTCGCTCATTCGTTACGAAAAGACTGTTTTATTTCATTATTAATAAGGCTCGTTTTGTTACAAACGAATGAAAGAAGTGAAAGAACTTATTCGAGCTAGATCGCAGATGTTGCGTGCGTTTACAATTCTCGTTTATTAATGAACGAGGATTCCAAACGCATACAACACATTTGCGATCTAGCTTAAAGTATCTGTTCACTTCTTTTGTTGTTTTATTTCATTTTATCATATTAATTAGAATTATTAATTGAAAACGTCTACCGGCGGCAAGCGAGATTAATGATGAAAAAAATGCTCTTTATTTGATTGGTACAAAATATATATGTTTGTAACAGTGCGCTCTCGTGCACTGTCATCATCTGGACGGAACAACCCTCCAGACGTAAAACGGCGCTAATAATGCCGAGTAATCTTGCACAAGTGAGTACATCGAGCTCTCGCGAGAACGGCTCGTCTCGCTATCGATACACACGATGGTGGGGAAGCCGCCTCAAGAGACTCAACTGCTTACCGATCCACGGCAGTCGATGGACGGCTGAATAATAAATAAGGGTTGGACCATACGACCTGCATCCGGATTCCCGTCCTACTTTAATTGTGCAAGCTTATTTGGCGCTTAGCGCCGTTTTACATTTGGACGATTGTCCGGTGCAGACGGTGTCAGTGCACTTTGGTGCACTGTCACATGTTGATATTCGATAATTTTATTAATATTGTATAGAAACATTTATGATGTGCGTCTGCTTATTAAGTACCTGTTAAAGCGGTGAAGAGTGCGCGGTCTCGAGATGGATATCTCTTTTAAAATAAATTCGGAAAGGATTTTCTAGAGAAAAAGAGCGTTCCTTTTTTTTTTCTTTATCAACGTCAGTCTGAGAAATAAAAAGTAAAACGAAGATAGATCACAAACGAATATTGTAATGTACGTATCTATCTAGTACCTACACGCCTGCTCGAATGAGACATACGGCGCTATCCTATACAGTAACTTTATTCTAGTTAATGAATGTATACGAATAGTCGCTAAGAGAGGATGCGAGAGTAATAATACAATAACGCAGTATTTCTAAGAGGTATGTAATGTTAATAGTTATTTATTTTGTGGATCTCGGAACATGATATTTCATTGCTCTGCTGTGCTATACGTTATCAATTAGACACGTAGTCCTGTTAGGGGTAGGCGTTACCTATGCGTAGTAGTAGCTATTTGTGTAAATGTTCCGCGTGGCAAAAAAAATCTCTTTTCTTCTTTTTTTGTAATATACTAGAATATTAATTGTCGATCAATTTGAATCCTGATTGTATGTAATTCGACATGCGACCAGGGCCGCATTAGCTGCCTATGAATAAGATTGTGACCTAATTTACACCGTACGTTTTATCCATACTAAATCTGTACCATATTCGTACTACGTATTTTTCAGATTAAGCTATTTAGTACGAATTTAGTACAAATATGGTACACGTATAAAAATAATCGGTGTAAGCAAGGCCTATAACTCGGCGTTCTTAGGGGTCGGTTGCCGTTTTGAACGCTATTGTAATATTACATTGATTATACGATTGCTAAAAAAAAATAAATGCGATGTAAACTTAATTACAAGTCTTACGCTTCTTTGCGGCCCTGGCCGCAGCAGTCCATCCAATATCAGCTCCAGTTTCCTCGTTCCCGTCGTTTACTATCCCTCGCGAATTAAATTTTAAATATCAATAGGTACGATTGCACTAATTTAAATTACGTTTTCACCGCTTAATCCAAATATTAACGTGTTTCAACTTACGTCTGTTTGAATATCGAAATTACGTGTCTTGGTTTGATCCAAATATTTATCGTCGGCGTACGGTCTCTTAACGCGAGCGATATTTTCCGCCGGGATCGTTATCAATTCTTTAACGATATCACGATGTGGCAAGCGGAAGACGTGCGGCGCTTGCTTTACGGCACTTAAAGCGCTCGTTAGGCAGCGTCATCGCAGCGCAGTAGAACCGCCTTAACGGGCGCCGCGTTGATCCGGAGTTGAGCTTTCCACGGACAGCCATAAGTCTCGCGACGCTCCGGGATATTAATATGTTATTGCGGAAAGACTCCCTCATGAAAGTCGACAAGGACTGCAAAAATATGTCTCGCGCGTCTCGGCGTCTCCTGGGGTACCACACATGTTCAGCGTAGCATGGTGGATGCCGCTGTCGTTCGCTATTCCTACATACGCGCGCTAACACGCACGAACACACACACAGTCACGTACCCACACGTACAGGCGGAAGCCCTCGTTACTATCGTACACGTAGCGGGGAATGGTTGGGGGGCAGAATTCAGCAGACGCCATTTGTATTAATGAAGCTCCCGACAATGGTGCACGCCCGATGAATTATGTACCTACGTTCGAACCGAACGAAGGTACATAACCGATCTAGGCGTAAGTTTGCTATTGGCCTCACGCAACACTTCCTATTCTCTGATCCTTAGTTATAACTTCGTGATCCTTGGTTCCTTAATCTAAAGCCGATGCTGCCATTTTTCGAAAAGAATGTTCCGAAGATTCGATCATGTATGTATTCTATCAATAGTTATCAGATTTTGAGATCAGAAAAATAAATTTACATTAAAAAAGAAATTAAAAAAAAGCTGATTTATGCTCAACGTGCTTGTCAAATTAACATCATAATTGTGAAACTTGTATTTTACACAGGTTTTTTGAATTTTTGAATATTTATTTTAAAGATATGCGTATCGTCAATCTGTAATTTATGTATCGCATTTTAATCTTTCATATTAGTTGAACGCAATATTTTTGATTTTATCGCGTAAAATGGATGGATCTTTTAAATGTTCACCATTAATCAAGGAATTAATTAAAAATCAAGTTTTTTGGCCGGCAAAAGAAAATAATTTTGATCAAAACCGGGGGAGGCATTAGCTGCGTAGCTGCAATCTATTACACGAAAAGACGTAGCGAAGCATCCATCTCGCCATGGCGCGGATAAAACGACCGCTTTACTTTGGATTACAGGGGGAGCAATTTACAGCAGGCGCAAGAGCACCTGTTCGTTCTTGAGGAGATGGAAAGGTGGGGACGCGCACAACGCGAGGGGTAGTCTTTTAAGGGTGTGGGAATAGCGTGCTTTGCAGACGTTGCGGTAATTGAATCCCAGTAAGTCCTCCTATATAGGTGTATTCACTTAAATGTATAACACTACTCTCCTTTCCTCCCACA